GAATTCTGAAACCTTCGATTCTCAATTTTTTTGTCTCAAAAAAAAACTTCAACTAAGACAGTATTTAACCCCACTATTCCCATTTTGTGCCGACTTTCCATTCTATTGTTTTTTTTTTCGATTGAAAATAAAGAAATTTCTCAATTTGGCTTATTTTTTATGACTTTGCGTTGAGGTTTTTTTTTATTGTTTTTAAAAGCTCAGAAGTTGAATAAAATTGCAATTTTAAAATACAAGAGCGGTTTTTTTTCAAAAATTCGTAACTTTTTTTGGGTTGGGTAAAAAAATCTGAAAAAATTCAGAAAAATGTCTTTGGTAGGATAGAAAATGATAAAAAAGTTTCAACGAAATCGAAGGGGGTCGGGTCAAAACCTCGGTGATTTGGCATGGATTGCCCCATATTAATAATAAAGTGAAATGTGGAATATATTACATATGTAATATGTCAAAATTTTCAATAATGAAAAGTATTTTTCATTATTGAAAATTTTGACCGAGACTAAAAAATCTGATTTCTTATTATTTGGTAGTTTCCACATAAGACACCAATAGCAATGTAAAACTTCTACACTAATAGAAAAAATTAAAGGAAAAAAAAATCCAAATTTTTTGCGATTTTTCGGATAGCTGTATCTTCGTTAACAATGGTCGTATTGGAGCCGTACTCTCTAAAAGTGAAACAGTGAAATTTTCACTATTTCCGTCAGTGAGTTATTATTCACTGTAAAATTAGTGTTTTTCTCGGTTTTTCTATATAAGTAAATTAGTGAAATTTTAACTTCTCCAAATTAGTGTTTTTTATTATCACTACTTTTCCGAAACTCTCGACATAAAATAGTGAAATTTTAACTTTTTTAAACTAAACCTATTTCACTAATTTGTACAGTGTAATTTCCACTAAATAAATTAGTGCAAAGAAATCGCTACATGAAAAAGTATTCACTAATTGCTAGTGGTATACTTATCACTGCGGCAAATAGTTAATATGCACTGTCAATCAGTGAAAATCGACTGTTTCATTTTTAGAGAGTAAGAAAAGCAATTTCAAGCTTGAAGTTTCTAGATTTAAGATTTTTAGATGTAAAACGTGCAACGCTCAATCCTAACGAATACCGTAATAAAAAAATTCGAAATTTTTTTCGATTTTTTTTTTGGTCCACGGAATGTTCTGACTCAACCACCAATAAATAAATGTTCTACAAGAGTTTGCTATTGTTTTTTTGAAAAAATACTCTACAAGAATTTGAAAAATCATGAAAAAAGTGCTTTTAGTGGGTTTTTGAAACAACGCAACCGCTGAATCAAAAATATTATAGGTAGTTACTTTTTTTAGGACCAAATCAAAACAAGCGCGGTCCTTATTGGTCAATTCGGTGGTGGTGGCGCGTGCATAGCGCGAGACTACTTTACATTTACTAAATGTCATTTAGTGGCTAACTTTAGTCCATGAACTGGACTGGAAACATAAAAAATTAGGTAAATGTGACTAATCTTGAAAAAACCTAAAATATGAAAAAAAAACCATTTGAAAAAAAACAATGAAAAAAAAAACAAAAAAACGGACCGTTTTTTTTCAAGTCGCATCTCTAGTTGTCCGTAACATTTCTTATTAAAAAATAATACATTGAGACTGCTAATATAGAACTAGATTAATAAATAAGACTTAAAAATTTTTTAAATATTAATTAAATAGTTATTTATGTATCAAGGCAGTAAAGTCGTTATTCTTATAAAAAATGACTTTAATGCCGAGGTGCAATTAAATTTTATCCGAAATCACATTTATTAATACTAATAATTAATATTGATGATTAAATCAAATGTCATTTGATGATCAAATCAAATGTCATTTGAATGTAGGAAGTGTCTATATAGACATATGTATACTGTTTGTTGCAAAGGTTATTGTATATTTGCCCACCGCGGCGATTTTTAATCTAATTAATAAAATGAACTTATTTTTATTAAACAACATTTTATAGAGGGGTCTGCTGCTGAGGAACAGTAGACACATCTTAAAATGTTTAATGGGTTGCATACAATACTCGTATTAAATCGGCAGTAAAGTTCTACTTTTCTGCCGATTTTGGATAAAATATTTGTAATGTCTTACACACTCTATAACCCAATGTCCCCATCATATTGAATATATTTCATAGGTTTGAAGGTGTATGAAACAGAATTCTAAAACTAAAATGAAATAAGTAGCTCCTCAGTATTAATTAAGAATGTAAAAAAAGTCTGTGAATAATTTTTTAAGCCTGACCAAACTTTGTCCAAAAACCGTCTAAATAAAAACAGCTTTGTTATAAAATTTAGGCTGGAGTTTAGCATTACATATAAAAGAACTCTGTCATCCATGTAGTTTATAACTGTGGCACGAGATGGCACCGCTGCAGGCAATGGTATCGCTATTGTTATTTTGCGCGTTACAAACAAGCAGCGTGTGTTTTTGAAGGTTATCTTTAAGCACGGCATTTACTCGATAAGTATTTGCAGTATTTAATTTTCTTTTTCATGTAAAGTAAACCAATTTGTTTTTATTTAATGCAATGTTTTATGTGCATTTATTGTGTCACTTTAAAAATAAATTTTTTAATTGTGAAAAATGTCTCCTTCGTCCTTAAAACTCAAAATATGTGACTTTACTGCTGAGAGTAACATTAAAATTATTTAGTTTGCCTAAATAATAGTCACAATGGATATGAAAATGTAAAATATTTATTTTTTAGAGGTAGGTGGGGCCAAAAAGTGTAATTTTCTAGCCGTGGTATGAGTTTAGTATTAGTACGAAACTGGATACGATTTACATTATAATAAAACATTCTGTAGCATTTACGGCTGCCTGTTTATTGCACATTTACAGCTCAAGCTGTGAACATCACGTCTTCGGCTGCAGGCTGCCCATAAAAATATATAAAGGCTTCGCATTAAATTTGCCAGGTTCTAAATAAAACGCCATTATATTGACACCGACCTGGGTGCTCGAAACTATCGTAAAACTTCACGGCTATTACCAATTTCATAAATGACGTTAACGGTTTATTGAAAACTACACCTGGTACTTAGGCTTAAGGGCTATAGTAAAGTCTATCATAAAAGTTTCTGGTTCTAATTAATATCAGCTGTAATAAATATATGTTTGGACATTGTATTCGTATTTTTTAATGAAGTTACATACTCAAACCATTCTCAAAATTACTTAAAAAATAATTTTTAAATGGAGAGGTAGATATCTAAAGTAAAAAAAATCCGATGTTGTGTTTTTTAACAGATGTTTTTCACCGATTTTATTTAAAATATTTTTTTACCCTAGGAGGTCGTGGATGACAATGTCGATGGTTAAGGCAACTCACGGATTTTTGTCGCCGGGTCGGGCCATACGCCCAGTTTAGGCTAGTGGAGAGCGGGACAAGGGGGGTAAATTTTGGTTTTTGAAGGACATTGAACTGACCCAAAACTAAGTACAACTCCAAATACAAATCTTTTAAAATATTAATTTTAGACTTTCTTGCACAAGGCAAAATTTACTAAAAAAAATGTATTTAGGTACTTTTTTTTAACCGTTAACAAGTTAACAGCAAAAACCATCAATTTCTTAGAAAATCAAAGTTTGAACCAATAATTGACATGGGTTTTATTCAATCAAACGAAAGAAAGCAAGATTTACATGTTTTTACATTTTACATGTTTTTTAGATGTTTTTTTAATGAAAAAAAACTTATTATTGTTGATAAGAGCTCAACTTTGGACTGAACTATTATTTACATACTTGTTAAATGGGATTGGAGTAGATAGCAATGTTAATTATTGACAGAATATATTTTATTGTGAATTAATAAGCGGTATCGAAAAAAAATATTATCTAAATAAAAATTGTTTTTCATCTATAAAGAAAACTTATTTTTGTTTTTAAGAGCTCAAAATTGGACTGAATTATTATTTAAATACTACTTGAATGTGTTTGGAGTAGATTTCAATGTTATTTATTGACAGAATATACTTTATAGTAAATTAAAAAAAAAAGTTTTTTCAAGAAAGAGTTAATTTTGGATATAAGTAGTACTTATAAATAAAAAACGTTAAAAAACCCTTTTACGAAATCAACAATAATTCACTTACTTAATACTTGGTAATACTGAAAGTTCCTATAATTTTAAAAAAATTTACTGTCTACAAAACTATGCTATAAAAATGTATAAAAAATGCCAGTGGGTTAACTTTATTCTTTTTTTTTCAAGCGTAATAGTCTCTTTTTCAAACATTCTTGTTTTAACATCCGATCGCGAGGTCAAGTGCAACCAAAAAAGTAGTAGGAGCTTGAAAAAAATTAAGATTTTAAGTATAAAATAAACATATGTTTCCAAAGCATATCTGACTTAAGTTTTGAAATATTTAATAAAATTGTTAACGTATTCAGTTTTGGTGGTCTATTCCTTGAAATCGGAGAAGTCCCTTGCTACAAAGCGTAGGTGTTTGTCGCTGAACATACGGAGCGAGGGAATGGCGGGGGCATTCAATATTAGACGTTCGGCGAGAGCGTAGATTGATTGATTATAAATTGTTCCTGTTTAGTTCGAAATATATGTATTGCAACATTTAATGTGTAGCTTCATTTTAAATAAGTTAACAAAATGTAATATTATATATACGAGAGAAAATGCACGTAAGTTCGAGTGTAAGTACAATAGTACAATAAGTACAAAATTAAATGATTTTCAAAAATAAATAAATAAAATCTGTCAAATGGTAAACCTCAAATTTTACCAATTTTAAGTGGTATTAAAGTCGCCTTTTTCCAATTTAAAACCGTATTATAATGAGTTAATTATTTCCGTTCTTAGGCAGGGAATTTATAATGTTTATTATTCACGGAAAAACTCATTATTATGCAATATGAGTAGATAAAATGTATACACAGTGAGGGAATTCTATTGCATTAAGATTAAATGAACAAATTCAATTGTGCATAAAATTATTTAATATATTTTTTTACTTACGTGACCAGTATCTTTTTCTTCTTTTTTAGGCTTTTTTAACTCTGGCTCTTGGGGAGTTCTTGGTCGGTACTTTTCCCTTTCTGCTGGGGAAATGGAACTTCTCTGTAAATAAAAAAATATTATGTTAATTTTTTAGTAATCTTTTAAGAACATTGTTGCTGGTTAGTTACTGTAATTTAATCAAGTAATTTAAGACTGGGATAATAAAACTATAAAACAATTAACATTCCAACACGAAATAGTCATATAGTGTAGTCACTACCACTATATACCGTATGATAAAATCGGTTAATTTCCCAACAAGTTGTCAACTAATTATTTTAAGTGTGTGGTACAAGCATCTTCATCTGATAAAGCAAATAGCTACGTTTAATAGACTTAGTGAAATCAAGAGTCCTTAATTAGTTTGACCATTAGAACGCTTTGACCAACCACAATAAACACTTATTGCAATAACCATGGTTAAGGTAAATGGGTAGGTAAACCTATACCTAAGTAATTTAACACTGATTTATGTATGCATTTTTGTAATGTAATATTAAAAGACAAAAACAATAAAGAAAGTTTAATTTATTAATTTTAGCACTTTTTTGCAAAAATGGCGAATGTGCCGGAAATAAAAACACAATTTTCTCTACTTCCGCTTGATTCAGGAAATTACGTCGTACTTGTAAACTGTGAAGCTTTAACAATAACAGCGATAAAGAAGCATGATGCATATAGGCGCTAAACCCATAGCGTATTTATGTTTGCTTGATTTTAGCGGAGACAATTCAGACATTCTGGTGAAAAAGTACGTGTTTCGGCTACGAATAGTTTCTTTCTCTTGAGAATGTTTCGGGGAAAGATAAAAGTTTATCCGTCCTCATGCATGATCATTTCACTGAAATATTTAGCTGGATTTTTTTATTTCTTCATACATTTTATGACCTAAAAAATTTATTATTCACGCCAAATTTTAGGAAAAAATTTACATTTGCTTTAAATATTACCCTAGAAAAGTTATTGGCCAACCTGTGGCAAACAACTTTTTTTATATTTTCGACCAGTTCCGAAAATGCAATACTTATCCTATATAATGCATTTTACACTGTTATAAAAATCAGATTTGTTAGCATGAATTTGTAGTTTAATTTTATTTTGTAAAATTTTAATCTAAATTTTTGTAGAAAACCAGGGTTTAAAATAATTTAACCGAAAGTTTCGTAAAGGTAATTTGCAATTTTATAAGCATAAATGTGTTAATTTTTTTGTTTAGAAAATTGATTAATAAAACAACATTTCTTATCAAAATTCTTTTCATATAAGTTCCCAATTTCCAAAAAACACTTTTGTTACTGGGTCTACAAAAAGGTTTGTAAAATATAAGGTGCTTATTAAAAATTACAAGAATTATGGTATAGGATTTTGTTATTAAATCTACAAAATGTTTGCTATAACTACAAACTACATAGAATTACATAGGATTTTGTTATTAAATCTACAAAATGTTTGTTATAATTACAAACTACACAGAAAAAAGGAATGGTTAATTTAACTATATTAATTTAGTTGACCCATATTTATTTAAATCAACTGTGTTAATATAAACAAAGATTAGTTTGACGGTAATAAACCAGATAGTAATTGTATTTTTTTAAATTGGTTAATTAACCCAGAAAACTTAAGTGAAACCAACCCGCTGTATGGTTCAGTTTACTAAATATGTTTTTTGTAAAATAAGAGTTACTTCAACCTTAAGCACTTTGTTAAAACGATTAAAACAATTTGCCGTGCATTTCTGGTTGCATAATATGTACAGATCGCGGCAAAGGCGGTGTGGATCACGTGATGTTCTTAAATCTCGCCTCTGTTGACTTACATGGAGAGTATATAACCTCAGCCGTTAACCTAGCTAGGGTAACAAATTATATTAAGTCAATTCAACCAAATTTATTTAGTACATTGGTCTGGTAGGTGAAGGTCACTTTAACTATATTTATAAATGTTTGTTTTAACCTAATATATAGTTGTAAAATATAAAATATGAAACAACAGATTTAGTTAAATGAAACAAATAATAGTTCAGCTAGCTAAACCTTTTTTTCTGTGTACTTATTCATTTATTTAACAGATTACAGTTGGTTGTAAACTTAACATAAAGTTCTGTGAACCTGGGTTAACATAAAATCTGGTTAAAGTTAACAAATATTTTTCCACTGTGTAATTATAATTATGTAGCCTTTTTATTAGAAATACTTTTTTATTCATTATAAATAAGGAAACAAATCGCAATAAAAAGGCAGCTGCGTTAAATGAATTGCTGATTAAAATCCCGTTTAATTTAAGTTAGTATTTGCTAGACTTTGACTACTCTTCTAATTATAAATGCACAAGTAAATTTCTATGTAGAAATTTTGAGGCGGGAGCGCCGAACGAAGATAAACGGGGATGTTTAATAAATAAGCAAGAAGTAATGAGACATTTAGTTGGCACGAGGTTCGAGCTACTACATGTTTAATGCCGTCAGTGTTCTTCAAAGACCACCGTCTCGGGCGTAATGTAGAGTTTACATCCTCCCCAAAGAGTATCACTGCTTTTTAGCAGCTTTAGCGGCGGCATTCAGCTGTCACCTGTGTATCGCCGCCTACATGGAGGAAAATATTGCCGTGCATCGTGGCGAATACAAAAATACTTTGCCAGCAGACGATAAATTATGTATTCAGTGTATGTTTTACACACAAACGCGGTTCTGCTTGTTTTTAACTATTTTTTTTACTACATTAGTAAGGATAATTGTGAATTTCAAATAACACGGTAATTTAATAGTTAAAATAGGTTGTTTTAACTAAAAATAAAATCCAATCAGTTTATGACAAGCATTTTTAACTAATGGTTTTTCATGCATACATAAATTTATAAAACAAAATGCAATACATCCACTTTTAAAAACGTAATAAATCCAATATTTTGTTAGTAATAATCGTCACATAATAAAAAGTAAATTCAAATTTGATTTATGGAAACCAGATAGCGTTTTCAAAAATATTTAAGACAAATCTATAAATATGCTATAGAAGAATTTATTGCGTTTTTTAATGCTTCTCATTTATAATAATTATACATAATTATAAATTACTACAAAGTCAAAACAATCGATTTTGAAAACAACTTTTTTTGATTTATTTGATAGAGGTATAGGGATTTTTGTATTCTGAAAAAAAATCGAAAAATTCCACTTAATTCGCAAACAATCGCATATTACGCAAACAGGTACAGCGACAGCGGTGAGAGATTACCCGACAATGGCCCGCTATGACTCCACTACCATATGTTAATAAAAATTACTTATTTTGTGCATTGACAAATACTTATATTATTTATTGTGATCCATTAGATAAATGCAAAATACTTACATGTAGTTTAAAATGTATTTTAATATTTTAGCAGTTAAAAACGTACGAATACACTTTTATTTTTGCTTTTACCACTTTTTATTGCGATATAAATTTATATTTTCAAAAAATAATAATTATAATTTATTTTAATAAATTCAATATTTTCATAAAAATGGTTATGTTAAGAGATCCTAAAAACACCAAAAAATTACTTCTATTGTTGCAATGAATACTTAAAAACAAAAAAATTATGAAATCTACCTTCTCATTTAAAGTTGCTTCCCGAGCAACGTGGTATAAAAAAACAAAAAATTCCGACGAGTAGTCTTTCAGTTATAATTTTATTTTTTTTATTTTAATGTTTTAAGTATATTAATAGTATATTATCTGTTTTTGTTTTTATAACAACCGTTTTTACAGGAGTACCTATACACTAAAAAAAGGTGCCCTTAAACTAAAGTAGTCAACTGTCTTGATAAATTATTATTATCGGCAAGAAACAATATTTTAGCATAAAAGATTATTTATTGCTTAAAGAAAAAAGTTCTTAGTGAAAGAAGTATAGTTCTCTTGAAAACAAATACAAAATCTCTTGAATGTTTCTTCTTTCAACCAAAAGGGTTTTTGTTCAAAAGCTATGAAAATGATTTATATTTACGCAATTCATTCAAGATACATCACAATTATCCCAATAGCATGTCAATTTTACAACAAAATGTGGTAGCTTCTGATAGATGGGAGGGGACGCGCACACCGTTTGCGGCGCACGTGTCTAGTACGTTTTGTATCATTGCAACTTGCAATTCGCCATTTTCTAGGGGCAGTTATATAATATTATAATTCTATTATAGGTATTTCTAATATACATTTTGCCGGTTGTTTTGTGTTATATTACTTTCATTAAAACTCTTTTTAAATAAATAAAATTTAATTAATTTGTTTAATGTTTTTGAAGGTAAGGTATTAATAATTAATTAATTATTAAAATATGTAATAAAATGTTTATGTTAAATCATATTTATGTTGTGTTAGTATTAAAAAAACTTGCGCTTTTGTTCATACTAAACATTAAATGTCTTATTTTATTTAAATTTTTTTTGTAAATCATTTCTTCAGTCAATCTTCTAGTTTTTAACGATGCCAATATTTAGGCTTAAACTCCCCTCACTACAAAGGTCCTTGATTTTATTTGTGGTGAGGGGAACTTAATCTTAAATACTAACAACGCTGGTATTTTAATTAAGATCAGAAGCTTTTGAATAAAGCAATACATACTAATGGACCAATATATATTTGCTCTAAAATCAAAATAAAATGTGGTTAGGTCAATTGTATAGGCTTTTGAAGCAAGACAAATTTTCTTTCTTAGAAAGTTTCTAAACTTTTAAAAATTAAAAGATGCAGTTTTCTTGTTAAAATCCCATTTTTTGCGCTAAAAACGTTTTCTTCATTCAAATTCCGAAGAAATATTTTTGGTTCTTGTGCCAAGAACTTGCTCTTGATTTAAGCTAATATTGAAATATCATTAAAACGAATAGATAAATCTCTCCCCTCAAGTAATTAAAAAAAATATGTAAAGATAGTTTCTGATTTAGATTAAGAAACAAAGCTATTCAAAAGCGCAAATCTTTTGAATCAAAGTGACTTTCATTTCTTTTAAGAGATTATTTTTTCCAGTATATACAGTGTTGACCATAATTTTTGCAACTACTGTAAAAACAATCT